CTATTGCAGAGGAGAAAACAATATTAGTGACATTGAAGTCAATTGTATGCTTGCCATGAAGTTTGGCTAATCAAGATCATTACCCTGAGGTTGCTACTGAACTACAGATGTGTGGCAATGCTTGATGTCTGTAATCCTTTCTGATTTCTCACCCCTCTCTAGACTCTTCTGTCCCTTGTGGGGAACTTATTAAACCCTTGTACAATAGGGACTAGAATCACAGTCACTAGTGCAAGAAAATATCTTTGAGATCATATTTCATGTGCCTTCCGGGGTCTGATATAATCTCCTGATAAGAATATACCAGACATTAACTAGATACTGCAGCTGGTCATGTCTCTTTCTAATTTAGTGGGATTTGGGCATGCAGACCAGAGGGGAAGAGAGCTTTTTTCCTGAGTGCAGCAATGCATACTTATTTCAAACAATTCAATCCTGTTCAAAACCAGCATTCCATGTCTGTCCCAACCTAAAATTCAGCTGGGTGTTATAATAGCTTATTGTTTGATGCAAGCACAGAGCACCTGTAAAATTTAAGATTATTGTCATTTCTCCACTGAGACATGAATGGAAGAAAATTGTATTTTATAGTCATATACAGATTATGGTTTATAATATGTATAGCCTGTTTTAAATGTAACATGATATAAATATTATAAGTATTGATTAAATATTTTAAGTATTTATATGCAAGTGAAACTCACAAAATTATTTGCATTTTTAAATGTGGGAAAAGCAACCTCCAAGTTTACAGTTTTTTTTTTCTTCTTTAAACAAACTAAAAAAACTGCTATCTGTTCTTGACTAACAATTTTTGAGACAGAAAGGTAAGCAAAAACCAAGCCAACTTTGAAATACATGTCACAATTGAGGAAAATTAGAAAGCAGCGAGATCCAGAATAGCAGAAGTGTTAGGGAAGCTTGTACTGTTTTTCATTCATGATTTCAAATGCTTGAAGGCTATTTTTGGCAGATCTGGGGTTTGTCCAAAGATGTTCAGTGTATAAGTTAGAATCTATGTTGATAAAAGGAAGCATCAAGCAATTAACTGCACCATGATGCCAGTCTTTAGATGGAGCAAGCACTGTGAAAACTCTCTTGTTTCCAAAAACCCCCAATACTCCAGGTACAAGGATAACTTCTTTGAGGTGTTACCTTCAGAGTAAATGTGTCAGTTAGGGGCATTGCCACAAGGAACAGTTTCCTGTTCTGTACAGGGAACACAATGCTCATACCTGTGAATTGCCAATATCCACTGTTTCGATTTCCTCCTCAGCATCAAAGACAACAGTATATGTGCTTCCTACTTCCTGTAGGATCAAAAGGGGATTTTATTTATTCACTTGATCAGAGGCAAAGCAGACTGTTCTCTCTGAAAGATTTTTCTTGTTGTCTGTGTCATAGTCGTTTATTGAAATGTCATGACTGAGCGGAAAGCAGCTATAACTGATGTTGGCCACTATGTTACTTTGATAAAATAATAAAAATAATCAGTAAGGGTCAAGAGTCAAGAAAGGTGAGGACCTCCATTTCCTCTTGGCTTAGTGGGGATTTTTTTAAAATTGCCTTATAAAAGGGAGAAAAAAGGGATTGTGCCCTAAAAAATCACTGGTATGAGGTTAGCAGATATTCCAGGTTTAGGTGAAAGCACATCTGAGTAGCAAGTCTTCTATTTCAGTCCTAATTTGCAAACTCCCAGATCCCCGTGGGCTTTGGTGAAGTCAGTCACACAGTTCCTGAAAAAACTGAACGGCTGCAGAATTGGATCTTGGGTTACCATTTCATTCTAGAGGGGATTTGGTGGTGTCGTCAGTCCAGTAAAGCTCAATTTTTATGCCATCACTTTTTATTTGACACTAAACTAAAACAGCTGCTTGCAATTAGCACACATAAAAGAAACAATAACAAAACTGCAGCCTGCCCTTTGAGTGCTACACATACTCAGTGCAAAGAGTTTTCCAAGTTCTGGTGATTTTCCCTCCCTCTGCTCTAACTAAAACATCGAAAACAATTGATCTCACAGAAGATCAAATGAAAAAAAAAAAAAAAAAAAGTTTATCGCTCCCTGAATGTTTCTGATGGGCAGCAGTGACTGGTTATTGGAAGATTTAGGCTGTTCCAGATGTGGGCATGGACAGGATCTTGCTGCTGCAGAGCTGATCTAAGCATGAAGTTAAAGGGAGGCAATGGCTGTTGCTGCCCTGGGACAGGATGATGTAGAGAGCTGGTTTCTTACCAGGACTGGGATCCAGGGCAGCTGGCCCACCCTCCCATTGGGAACAGTGAACAGGGAGCTTGTAAAATACACAGACCGAATGGAAATGACCCCTATTGACTGAAACCAGCTGCATGTCAGACCTCTCACTGTCTCTCTTGATTTGTTATCTCAAATAAATGGATGTGGTAGAAGGGCTACAGAAAGAAAACAAAATAATTTATTCTCCTTGAAGTTGCACCACACTAGTAAGCCTCAGTTTTTACAGCTGAAAAAAAAAGTTTATTCACATATTAATGTGAATAAATCCTCCCTTTTTTTTTTTTTTTGCCTTGAAACGCTGCAGTTTAGAAGACATACTGTAGTTTGGTTTCAGAGGTCTTTGACAAACATACATGGTAGATTTTGTAAGGTATTCATCACATAAAACTTCTGTCTAATGGGAGCTTGGTTATTTTGCATTTAGATTCAGAAAAGTTACAACATCTTTGTTGGTGTTTTGTCTTAGACGTGCATGGTGGCTCAGCTCCATGAAAAACATCTTAGTGAGTTTTGAAGAAACATGACACAGAGAAATACTTGACTTATTTGTGCATTTATCCCCGTATTTTTCCTAATACACTCCTGGGTAACACCAGTTATTCTGAGCATTGTTAGGAGCTGCTTGCAGTAACCATGGTAGCACTTGAATTTAGGACCTTAAGGACAACAGCTGCTCCAGTCCTCCATTTGATGCTCAGGAGGGGTTACTGCTATTGATATTAGATTGCCCTCTGTTCTGACTTTAGAAGTAGATAAGGAGGTACTTAACCTCAATGGCACAGTCACCTATCAATTTATGAGAGGATCATCATGATGGGACACATGCCACATAGTTATGGTATGATAGACTTTTTAAAGGAAACTTCTTAAAAGACATCAGTCTAGACTTCATTCTTGCAAACTGAGATACTGATGTGTTTTGCAAATATATCTTTTTATTTTTTTTTAAGTCTTGTTCAGCCAATTGATCATTAGTGAAAGAAGTCACCAAATTTAGATGAATAGATCTTTTAGAGTGTCTCAGTAGAATGACCTTCATGAGTCTGAAAAAGCACATGGATATAAAAACTTGAGGATAACACTTTGAATTGAATGTTGCTTCTTTTTTTCCTTCCACAATCTTCTTTTTTTCCCCTTAAGAATTTCTTTCTTTCTCACTCAGAGTTGTAAAAACACAGTACAGTAACATAGCTTTGAACATAGAAGCCTCTACCTGTGGCCTTGCAGTGCTGCAAGAGACAGATGTTATTTCAATACAAAATAGACTGAAATAGGTTCTGAGTGTTCTGCAAGTCACTCTTTTTGCTTTAAACCAAAATGCAGTTCAGACTGGCCATTGTTCCTCTGCTGGCATTTTTTGTCACATTGGCGTATAGGATCTTCTGACAATCATCTGTGACCCACAGATAGATATTGCTCTGAGGAAAGGCTCACCTCTGTGCCTCCTACTATCCACCTCTCTGCCTCCTACCACTGCATTTTTTTACTGACTGTCCTATGGTGACACCTCCTACAGATGAGCTCTCTGCTATTCATTCTATCCTCTGGCTGGATAATGAATTGTGAGGTAGTTGATGGGTTATTCAAATTGTGCTGGTTTTGCATCAAGTGATATCAAGCACCTCCTTCATTCCTTTTTTATCTTAACATTTTCTGGTAATTACTTGAATTAAATCAATTGACTTCTTTGAAAATATAAAGAGTTAAAGAGGTCTTGGGTGGCTGCCTATAGATAATGTTCTATGTTGAGCAAGAAGCAGAACCATGGATGTGAAGGAGGTTTCTATGGGTTTGGAAGAAACTCTTCTCCTTGCTGGCATCTGTGAGGCTCTACCTTTGGCACACTCTTGTAGGAGGCCAGTGATTTCAGTAGTCAGATGATTTTCAGGGGGTCAGATGACACCAGCAAGGTTTCTGTATGCTGGTACAGCTCACGGCTTTGGGATGACCTTGTGATTGTGCTGAAAGGGAATTTTATAATCTGTATTTCTGCAATATCCTTTGTGCACAAAGGCCCTATGCTGCAGCCCAAAATGTTTCAACCTTTCCCACTGGCCTTTAGTTGTGTTCAGGTAAAAGTGGACAAATCCCATTGATACTAAGGAAAGTTTTGCCCTGGTCAGATTCCAGGGCCCAATCCAGTGACATGTGGCATACAAAACAGAGAGAGGTTAGCATGTGATAAAAGGACAACACACACTTGAACTTTTCAGCAAAGAAGGAAGATCAGGTTGAGGCCATCCTCGTTATTTTCCCATCTCTATGTTGAAAAAACAGGTTGGGTACCAGTACACCTGCATTTGAAAAACACGTCAATGCAATGTGAGTCTTTTAAATAATATCTGAAGTAAAAACAAGACAGGCACTATGTTGCATCTTTATTTTAATCAGACTTTCATTTTTAAAAGTTGCAAGAATACAAGCTTGATGAAGGTAACCCTACTGAGCTGGCCAAAGAGAGAAACAGTCATTTTTCCTCAGAAGCACAGTAGGAAATGTGTAACTGTTAAATTTCAGTTCAGACCTTTGTACCTTTAAATATATGCAGTGGAAAACTAAATTAGAGCCCAAGAATATGTTCTTTCTCAAACTGAAGTAAGATGCCTTTTATCAAGGGAACAGCAAGAGAAAAACCAAATAAATCTCAAAACACAAGACAAGGCACCATTTCTGCAACAGCATTTCTGATTGGTCAAATCACCACATGTACACATGTTGAATTTTCTGCCTTGTTCTGTTCCAGAGATTGAAGGCAGCGCTGACTCATCATCCTGCCGCCATGTCGAATGGGAATATGAACACCATGGGCCACATGATGGAAATGATGAGCTCGCGACAGGACCAGACACCGCACCATCATATGCACTCACATCCTCATCAGCACCAGACACTGCCACCTCATCATTCGTACCCACATCAGCACCAGCATCCGGCACACCATCCTCATCCTCAGCCTCACCACCAGCAGAACCATCCCCACCACCACTCCCACTCGCACCTTCACGCACACCCGGCACACCACCAGACCTCACCGCACCCCCCGCTGCACTCGGGCGGACAAGCACAGGTAGACCTTCGTGTCCTGCTGCATGGCTGAGTTCTGCTGTTGGGTGGAGTTAGAGCCTGATCTCAGTATTGTTTCTTTGTGCATCAGTGTCTTGTTAGATACAAGCCCCTCGGGCTGCTTGTAAATGTCTGCTAATGGTGATGGGGATGCTTAAACTTTATTTAGCAAATGGAGTGAAGCAACAACTTGTTTTGCTGCCTAATTTACTAGACATTTGTAATTTCTTACTTTATAAGGAGCTCCAAGGCTTTTCAGTGCTCTGAGCTCTGCAGATTGCCACATATCCTTTTATGGATGAGGTTTATTACAGAGATTGGCATATTATATATGTTGCTTAATATGCTTGAACCCGAACTTCTCAGGCCAAGATTTAATAAGCTGTATGAGTTCTACCTGCAGAAATATGTAACAAAGTCTTTAGTGAAATGAAATGGCACTGGTGTGTGTGTGTGTGGGTGTGTGTGTGTGGGTGTGTGTGTGTGTGGTCGGGGGGTATCCAAGACTGGAGATATTAGAGGTAGTTCTAAGTTACGATACATGGTCTTAGAAAAGATTAAATGATCCACACCCTGTGAAGAGGACAGACATCTGCATAGAATGAGAGAAATGTTAGCTGTAAGTGCAGACAACTGTTGGTGCATGTTGTGGCAGGAGAAAAAAGAGGGTGAAGCCAGTCCAAAAAGAGAGCTTTAAACAAAGAAGGCAATTTAGACATGTATTCATGTGACAAGTCAGTGAAGGTTTCCACTGAATGAGGTGGAGGACTCAGTTTTTTGGACCACGTATATTGGTTTCAGCAATTTGGATCATTCGGTATCTGAACTGAATGTTTCTTTCACTAATGAGCTAGTGAGCACAAACTTTGGAAGAGTAATTTTTAAGAGGAATTCTGTTAATGTCTTAGGATGATAGGCTTCTGCATCAGGATCGCACAGAAAAATAAAGCTCTGGGGGCAGTTACTGTAACAGGTCAGGTCTGGAGAGCAAAGTTAAGGAAGACAAACAGGCAGTACGTGGAATATGAGGACAAAGAGGAATGCCAGCCATAAGAAGTTCAATCTGTGGAGTATTGTGTTGCTTTCAAATACCTTTCAGACAAGCTCTTAGAAAACATTAAAGAAAATAAGAGTATTTGGCTGATATCCCAGTGTCCCACAACATTAACTATTTACTAACATCTAGCTTTATTACTGCAGAGTCTGCAAGCACATGGGATTTCCCTAAAGTATTTGCTAATGTAAAATGAATTGTCAGCTTTAGAGAAACAGTCTAAGTAAGAGAGAAGGAGACTCCCCTGTGAGATGTCCAGAGCTTTCCTAAGTTTATTTCAGTTTTACTTTGTGAATTCAATTATTTTCCCATCTGTTAATGTGTTATTTTCCTTGGAGTTGTTTAAAAACTCCAATAAAAAGACATCATCTCATATCAGAGAGACCAAAAGTAACCTGATTGCTGTAGTGGAGATCCCAGAGAGAGTAAGGATAAAGCTGTGCTTAGTCAGCTGAGGACTCCATGGATGACATGGAGGAAGTCACTTAACCTTCACTGAGAGGTTAAGAGGATAAACATGTTAATGCAGTTGAGGGCATCAGATCCCATGGCATGGAGCACTGCTGCAAAACATCCACAGCACCTCTTTAAATGAGTGAAGAGAAAACTATCGGGGAGGACAGCTACTATGGGGAAACAAACCTCACCGTTTCAAGGATAAGATCAGTGAGCCAATGGCCTTCCTCTAGACCCACTTGAAGAGGGACCTTGACTTACTTACCCAGTTAGGACAGCTTCAACTTCTTGTGCTGTGTATTTCCTGCTAGCTGGGCACCATGAGAGACTCTCAGGCAGGCAAGAAGAGATACAAGCACATGGGAAGGTGGATTGACTGGCAGCCAAAAAGCTGTGTGAGGGTCACCCTGTGTCCAGCACAACACAGTCTCTGGAGCTGGGTCTGTGCAGAGAGATAAGTTTTGCTGTGCACAGTCTGCTGTCTGGAGGCAACAGACCCTGTGGGAGATCAAGGAGATCTTCACCTTGTTCATGGGCATAAGTGTCACCAAGGGGATCAGACAGAGGGTGATGGAGTAGGAATCCCAGGGTCAGTGGCTCCCCTGGGCAGCAGAGCTCTTGCTGTGCATCTGTTCCTCTGGTGCAAAGGCAATAGTGATTTCTGAACAGATGCATTAGAGGGGAGAAGAGAAGGGCTTGCTGAGTAATAACCACACAGTTATTACTTTCAAAGCTCATCCATAGTCCCCATGGTAATGGCCTCTTTGGGGATCAGATTGCTCCAGCAGACGTTAATTTTATGGTGCGATTTTCTAATTATTAACCTCCTTATTCTTCTGAGCCAAATTCTTCCATTCCAAACCACCTGCCAAATGGCAGCATGGTCCACGCTACTGTAAGAGGTACACTCCCATGCTGAGACTGGTGTTATTCTGCACTGTGCCCTTCTGTAATGTTAGAATTCACTTCATGCTTTACAGCTACCATTTTTGATACACAGGAGCCCAAGGCATTATGCTTTCATAGAATGAGTGAATGGGTATTGTTTTGTGGTAAATTGCAAAGAACAGAAATAAATATTTGATAAAAGTAGAAATCAGCTTCTGGTAGGTATCTTTCTGAGCAAGAGAGGTATTTTACCAAGCTCTAACTATGCTTCCTCAACTACTACAAAAATTATACTGTTATTCTGCATTGGTCCTCTAAAGATTTATTTTTATCAAACTTGCCAGAGTGATAGCTCAAGCGGAGTTAGAGTTTGGATGCCATTTCATTCTCTTAGCTGTCCTATGTTTGTCTTCATTATGGATATTTGATTAGCATCCTCTAAGAACAGCAAAATTAACCTACATTTTTAAATTTAGTTCATTTTCTTTCCTATGTCCTAGGCAGGGCAATGAAATCCTGCTAGAGAATGATGCTTAGATGGTACTAAGATATAGTCTAACATATTTCAGGGTTAAGAGCTATCAAGTAAGAGTCAGTTAATTATCCCACGTGACATTATTAGTGGAATAATGGCAGCCCTTATAATTAATATCTTCCTGAGATGGAGAGAAGATTTTATTGTTCGGAATATGCACTCTGACTACCTAGAGACTGCCTGGTATATTCTGAAGACAAAATTACTCACTAGTTATTCAGGAGAAAATGACCATATGAGAGGAATTAAAAAAAAAAAAAAAAAAGTATAGTTACCTTTTTCTGCCTTTGTATCAGATTTCACCGAGAGAGTTAAGAAACAAGAATTTTTAAAGCTGAATAGAAAAGGAGTAAAAAGGGATAAGGAAACATAAATAACAGATCTCTGAAGTCTGGAAAGGTATTATGTGTGAGAAAATGAAAGGTCTTTGATGAGATGTTGACATTAAAAGGTACTTCTGAGACCTCTGCACTCAGACATACTGCTAAAGAGGCAGCATGCCCTTCCCTGGTGGACAGGGAGCAGCTGGAATCCCTTGGCAGCGGTCTCCTGGCAGAAGTCAGGGGATGCTGGTGAGAATGGGGGCCGTGCCCACTGCAGCTGCCACGGACCTGGCACTCCAACCCTCAGTGTGGACAGTGTGTTGAAGATTTTATCAGCAAACATATGGAGTTCACACAAGCTGAAATTTTAAAAATCAGTCAGAAAATGTGGGGTGGCTTATTTATTTTTACAAGGTTATTCTTAAAGAAATTTTTTTCTGCTTCTGTGAGATTCCCTGACAGTGCAACATAAAGCTGTGAATAAATTTGGCTTTATACAAAAAGCGTTATCAGATGTACAGAATAATTACACATAAAATTGCCACTGTAATTGCCACAAGTCAGCTGGGGGAGGGAGCAAACTAGATTCTAGACAGAAAGGCCACCTCAACTTCGCAAGACTCAAGACGATAGTATCACTTTAATTGAGACAGACAGAGGTGTTAGGCAAACACGTTAATTGCGGCAATTGAAATTCAGGGCTCAGTCTGACAAAGCACTGAGTACATCCACTCCCTGGAGTCAAAAGGAAGCACCTTGGAGGTTTGGGCCTTTGCCAGAATAAGAGGGTTAATTTTGAGTCAACAATTCAAGCTTCCAGACTGTTCCAGACTGTGCAGGAGTGGCAGCAGCAATGTGAGCTGAGTGTGAGCAATAGGATCCATGGACTGGGTTCCCAGGCCCCAAGCAGAGGGAGAGAGAGGGTGTCTCTAGAGCCCTGTAGCCTGAGTGCCACAGAGAGGCAGGAAAGTAGTCCAAAACCCTATTTCCAGGCAGTCAAACATTAAATCTGGCACTGGTTCCTCACAGAGATGTGGGAACGTTCCATCTGCCCAGGAGTCAATTGGAGAATAGCTCACATGGCACTGCCCCCACCATGCACTTTTTCTGTAATATCGTGGGCCAGTTACTCTCAGGAGCAAGATCAATAGTTTCCTGTACTTGAAAAAACATAAATACATATTTTTTCCATAGTTTTGTAGCAGTGGGCTGGATGTGGTGTTCTTCTACTCTCAAAGACATGGATAAATTGAATTTAAAAAAACAGCACAGAGGTCAAATGGAAAGTGGTAAGAGGAATATCCCTTATCTACGCAGTGAAGAGACATCAAAACACAGGTTCAACCTAAACTCTTTCTTTGCCCCTGAGGGGCAGGGAGGTCTGCTGCCCTTGTGCAATCCCAGCCTACAGCTTCCCTGCTCCATGCAGGTGCAAAGAGCTCTGCAGCTCCTGTCTCCAGAGATGGCAAAGATTGAGGTGGAGATGGTGAAGCTTGGGAAATAGAAATAGCCTAAAATTTTGGAGGCAATTGGGGGCCAAAGGGAGAAAGAAAGACACAGAAATTAGATCACTACAGTCCTCTGCTTCAATTAAAACAGATCCTGAGAGGAAACTGGACATTTCAGGTTTGAAAGAGGTGGTGGCAGAGAATGCATCTAAGTGAATGTTTTTAAGAACTAACTCAAGGGAGAAAAAAATCTTCAGAGGATAATTTCAAAGAAATCTCTCCTTTGACCATGACAAGGACTTGCCAGCAGCAGCTTTCAGTGGCACCTGGCGCAGCTTTTGCCTTGAGCCCGTTGCAGACCTTGCTGGGGAGCAGGCAGAGCGCGTGAGATTTCCCTTCCCATTTCAGCATCCCCCTCTGTACCTTCCCCCCTCGCCAGCCCCTGCCAAAGCTCTTCTTTGCCCCGCAGGTTTCGCCGGCGGCACAGCAGATGCAGCCCACGCAGACGGTACAGCCACCACAGCCGACTGGAGGTCGCCGGAGGAGGGTGGTGGACGAAGACCCAGATGAGAGGAGGCGGAAATTTCTGGAAAGGAACCGAGCGGCTGCCACGCGCTGCAGACAGAAGAGGAAGGTCTGGGTGATGTCACTGGAAAAGAAAGCAGAAGAGCTCACCCAGACAAACATGCAGCTTCAGGTGCGAGCCACTGTCTGCGCCCCTGAGGACACAGAGGGGCTCTTTGTGCCTGACTGACGGGGCCTTTGGGGCTGCCCCCGCATCGTCAGCTCCTAGCAGAGCTCAGGCATAATCAGCCTGTTAATCAAGATGTGTGTGCTTCAATTAAAGAAATAATTACATTTTAGCAGGATAAGCCAGGAAAAAGCTGTCTTGGGATTTAGAAACCTTCGCTAGATGGAGTTGTATTTATTTTCTTTCCTTGTCACTGCTTTTTGTGGGGAATTTTTGAAGTGCCATTAACATGTCTGTGTAAAATTTCTTCAGAGCAGGGCATGTAGTTAAACCTTCATTCAAAGCCAGCAAGATAGAAGCACAAATAGATCACTCTATCAGTGAGGAAAATGAACTGGATAGATGAAAATACCACAAATACGATAATAAAAGCCTTTCTCACAGTGCTGTCCTTCTTATGGTAGGCACAGTACTTCTGCTTCATGCAGAAGTGTGTCTGTGCACTGCCAAGGGCAGAAAACCCTTTGTAAATGGCATTCCTCCAAAATATTCTCCCACAAAACTCAGAGGTGAGCAGGCACTGGCTGCAGCTGAGCTGTAGGTGACAGCAGTCCTGCCACCGTGCCCCTGAGCCTTTGCCCCCATGGTGCCCTCTGACCTCACGGAGAGAGCCCTGTATTTCCCAAGTAGACTGAAACATTGCCTTAAGTGTTTCTGATGCCTGAAGTTAGTTCATTTGTCAGACTATCTTCAGAGGTTATAAAATAATGTCACTGACAAATGTTAACGTAAACCTGGCACACAACCACCTGAATGACTTTTTTGCTCCATTCTTCCAAAGTTATGGAGCAGGTTTTGTGTTCTTGGGTTTAAGCTTTGCAGAATAGCCTGGTTTAAGCTTTGCTGCTAACCAAAGCCTCTCTTTCTTCTCCAGAACGAGGTTTCCATGCTGAAAAATGAGGTAGCACAGCTGAAACAGTTATTGTTAACACATAAAGACTGTCCGATAACAGCTATGCAGAAAGAATCACAAGGATATCTAAGTAAGTAGCTGGTATGTTTGCACTGTCTCCACACTCCTCACAGGAAAGCAAACCTTCCAATTCTTCCCTCCAGAACCCCTTCTTGGTCATATTATCACTTGAACCTGTCTTCTCAAACATCATCCGAGCCATCCAATCTCCTGCCCTTATTTATCCAGCCCCGCTCAAAAACAAAAAAGCCCCGGTTTGCATCCCACCCAGCAGAGCTAGTCTTCCCCACCCCTCCTTTCGGCAAGGAGATGCACACGGATGGACGCTCACTCCCCTGTGGAGGATCCTGCTTGAACTCACAGCTCCAAACCTGCAAGAGTCCTCCTGGGCACGGCGCTGCCAGAACCTTAAAATAACTCTCAAAAGGAAAGTTAAAAAGGAAAACATTACAGTCCCCTCCAGCGAAAATGGTACTGTGCTCTGACAGTGGCACAGACCAGGCCTGGCGCAGGTTTTCAAGGTTTGTTAACTCTTTTTTAACTCTCATCTTTCTTTCTGTCTTTATTTTCTTTTTTTTCCCCAAAAGTTCTCAGCTAACAAAGACATTTAATCAATTCTTTCTAGTTGATGCACTTTGTGAGTGTAGTAATTTACAGACAAATTCTCTTTTTCATTATAGAATGGTTCAGAAGAGCCTCAGAGCTTGCTAGATTGTGACATTGCTTAAAATAGAGCCCATTTCTGTCTCCTCTGCATCACTATGCATCTGTCTCTTTAACAGTACTCAAAGAAAAAAATATATAATTGCATTACATGCCTATCAGCTGTTGCTCGAATTAGATTTTCTGTGCTGCAGTGCACTGCACTCCAATTTTGATTCCTGCTGGAACAAAAAAGCATTTAAGCATCCCAACTGATTTTAAAGACCTTAAGATATCAGACTTTTTATCCCAACATTAGTTTCAGTTATTAAGGTCTTGGACTTTTTTCAAGGTTCAATCAGCTCCTGAAGTCAGGTTGATACCAGAGAAGCTGGCTTGAAAAAAAAAAAAAAAAAACGAAAATGAAAACAATCTTAAGACAGAGAATGTTGGATAACTGTAATGATATTTTGAAATCCTGGGACTTCTGCATGCTTCAGGTCATCAGTATTTCCATTAGTATCACCCAGCCTAGGTTTTTCACTTGGATGGAGAAATGAATGTGTGTTGTCTGTGTGCCTTCGTTCCCTTCCCAGGTCCCGAGAGCAGTCCTCCTGCAAGCCCAGTCCCAGCTTGCTCCCAGCAGCAAGTCATCCAGCACAACACCATAACGACCTCCTCCTCCGTCAGTGACGTCGTGGGAAGCTCCACTCTCACCCAGCTCGCCAGCCACAGAACAGACATCAACCCCATCCTTTAAAAGTGGTTGATCAGAAACTGCTGGGGGAGTGTGGTACCGTATCAAAGCGTCCTCTCTGCTAAGGACATTTGCAACCGTAACTCAAGCCTGGAAGATTCCTCAGTTCTTGAAAGACTCTGCCTGTTCATTTTTATAGTTATTAAAATGTCTTTTATACTTAGTTACATAAAAGGGAGTTACGCAATTAATATGCTATCAGCTTGAGAAATGCTTTGGTGCTTTCTCCATTTTTTTGGTACCAGTTACTTGTTTATAAACCTAACTGTTTCTGTACATAGTCATGTTTCCTTCTCACCAGTCTAGCCTGCAGCCTCAGAAATACAAAGTTGTGTTAAACTGCAGCTTGTTAGCCAATGTGAGGCATGAAAAGTATTAAACAGAGTCAAACATAGGTAACTAGGAGTAATTAGGCTATAAATATAGAGCAAGGGCATCTGCTGACAGCATAATAAAAAAGAGCTAGCGTTGTGCTATCAGCAGACCACGTCTCACATTCAGAGCCTCTTTCAGAGCAGTTATATAGGATGTGGCTTCAGGACAAAATCAAGCCCAAATAGTGTGCTCTTTTGTCTAGCCCTCCCCCTTCTCCTCTCTCTCCTATCCTGGCCTTTTTCTCCTCCAGTTATTCTCACACCTTCTATTTCCCTTCCCTTTTCATTTCCCAGCTTTTTTTTCTTCCTTGCTTTTTCTTTTTTTTTTTTTCTTCATTCCAAGGCTTTCCTGCTTCCCTCTTTTACTCAAAGAATGGTAATGAACAAGAAAAACTTCAAGCCCACCTAAAAACTGTCGGCACGGCTGCTACTTTCACTAGCTCTTCACCTGCAGTTGGGCTGTGCCAAGTACTTGGCTTTTAAAAAATAAAAATGCTCCTGATTTAGTGTTTTTAATAAATAGGGAAAGGTGAAAACAGCGCAGCCGCAGGTGAAGCAGGATGGTGAGACAGCTGTGTTGATGCTAGCAACCCTGTAAGCTTCTGTGGTGCAGCAGAGGCAGAGTGAGCAACACCTGAAAGTCACAGCAATTTTTTGCACTGCCAGTCATTAATGTAGGAAAATCCATGTAGTATATAATAATTCGGAAAAGTTCTGTTCCCTAACCTGGCTGCGTTGTTCTAGCAACGAAAGCTAACAGCCTCAGGCTTCATGGGCTATAAATGAGAAATAAATCAGTGTAATGGTTTTGACCAGTTGGAAAAATGCCATTTTTAATTCCCAGGGAAAGACCTGCTCTCTGCAGGCATTCCTTTAAACGTTCACAGACTGATCCCAAGCTGGCAGACAGCAGTGTAGCTTCACTGACTTTAATGGTACTTAACACCCGCTTACCACGGGTAAGGATTGTTCTTTAGGACGCTAAATAATTTCTAGAAGGCACGCAGCAGCTAAAAAATGCTGCAAGAATGCCAAGTCCCACACTTGGGATAAAATACAGCCCTGCAGAAAGGGTCTGGAAAAGAGCCTTATGCCACAATTAAGGTTTTTGTTTGGACTCTGAGCCTGCCCCTCAGCACAACTGATTTGCATCCCCGAGTGGTCCCAGTGATTGATGGGAAAATCAGACAGAGATGATGCCAGTTAATTATTCTGCCTTGCTGTATATTGGGACCTGATTTTGCTCTCAAATCTGTCAGCGGCAAAACCTCCCCCTGCTCGCCCAGGGAGCAGGCTCCGAGCTGGTAAAAAATGTTCAAACATTTTGAGCTGCATCTTTAATAGAAAAATTCACATTATTCCCAGCAAATCCTCTAGCCCCGAACACACTTTCTTCTGAAGCAAAGCCCTCTTCCTCAAAGACCGTGTCTTTGGTCTTTGGAGGAGTCATGGGTTTTAGAAGGGTGGGTCTTCTCCATGCGGGAGGGAAAGTGAAATAACTGAAGTGTGAGGAGGCACTGTAAGGAACAGGGCCTGTCTGGAAGGGAAAGCAAATTTCTGAGCATCATTCATTGCCGAATTAGTTCTTATCTTGGTGACTAACTTTTTATCAGTATTCTTTTCTTTAACAGCTCGCTTTCCATTTATGCAAACATATTCAAAAGAAGAAGATTTTTAATGTACAGTGTAAATCTTGACTTGATTATATAGTCTAAGAACCAAAAAAAAAAATTATGAAAAAATACAAATGTAAAGGATTTTCTATTATATTTTAGACAAACATATACTTTTAAAGTGTTTTAAATACTGAATCTATAATTTTTTTTAATCTCCAGTTGTAATAGCTAAATGGTTTTGCTTCATTATGGCTCCCAAGAGAACCTTTTTCAAATATGCAGTTGAGAAAAATGTTTCAGCTGAGTATCCACTATGTAAAAAACCCAAATAAGCATTTCCCCTACATCTGAATTTCATCATTCACCATCAAAAAGGAAATGCCATTGCAGGGTTAATTTTAAAAAACTTTCCCTCTATATGGGTAGCACTTCAATACATTAAAAAATAAAAATCAAAGTTGTTGGTAATTTTAGAATACCCAGTTGAGCTACACTGCACTAGAATTACGGTTTAGCTTCATTTTATTCAGTCTCCTCAATTAAAATATTTAGCTGTTAAAATGAAAGCCTCTACATTAAAAAGAAAAAAAAAAGGAAAAATACAAAAACCTTGCCTAAGTTTTGTTAAGTTCAGCAACTTGACAGTTTGACTGATGTGTATTATAGCTCAATTATTTCTTTTTTTAATGCTAACTAGGCACGCCAACCACACATGTTGGCCTAAATGTGTAATTACAATGAAATGTCTCCTCTCTATACTATTGGCCTTTAGGTATAATCCTTGCTAGTGATGTGGAAATAAGTAAAGGATGAAAAGCTATTTGCTATTGCTTCTTGTAACTCTGTCGCAGGTTCACAGGCCAAGAAACATGCAGCATATGTATATCGGCTGGATCATCGGGAAAAGGACCAACCGTACCTGGCACCTTATATTATTCATCAGATTTGCTTCCACATTAAAATGCTCTTGTTTTCCAGGGGAGTGATCCTGCAGCCTTTCCTCAAGCTGCTGGTCCAGCCAGGCACTGAAGGCTGCCTGAGCAAGGGCTGTGGGAGAAGCCCCAGCCCTCTGGCTCCAGGATGTCCCTCTGCCATGTGGTCAGTGACAGCAGCCTCTTCCTGAGCACGTCACTCTAAATGCACTTCCCGGGCTCTTTCCATCAAGGAGGAATCCTGCTTTTCCACGAGCTACTTCTGGAGACTGCTCCACTTTCCTCTTGCCCTGCCAATCCTGCCTGTTGCTAGGCTCACCAGGCTCTGTGCCCTATCCCACTGCCAGCGAAGGACAACTCAGACCACTTCCATCATCCACTCTCCAGGGCACTCACAGGGTGGTAAGCCTTGGCCAGTGCCTTGTTCAGGAGGAGGTGTTACCATGTAATAGACAGCATCTCATGGGTGTGACGCTGGAAGAGGTTTTGAAATCTCAGCCACGGAGAACTGCAATACTTTGATCAGAAAGAAATGATGCTGCCATCCAGCTCTGGAACCCCCAGCCCCCCTTCCCCAAGTCAATTAATGCAAGCCATATTCATAGCGCTGCCTGTGGGAGACAAGTAGTTTGTGTGCTATCATGGTGTGTTTCATAAGGACAATGATGATGATGATGATGAATTATGGAGAATTTCATGCTGTTGGGAGTTAATTCCTGCTACGAAGCTAAATGTCAGCTGCCCATATTCTGAATAGTGGAAAGTCAATGGTTCAGTGCCTCAGTGCATGTGGATTTAGTGTTAATGACTCAGTCCTGTTAACTAACAAGCCAGCTATAACTGTTGTTAAATGCCCAACTTTTGAGGATTCATATTTTTTTAAGCAACAATATTTAGTGTTGAAAACTAGCCTTTTAGTTTAGGCAAAATGTGCTTTTTAGCAGCTAATACCTTTTTTAAAAAAAAAGCGTATAGAGTGAATTTATGAAAATTCATGAGGACCAAAGCAATTTTAAAACAGGAATCTATTAATTTAGTATTCACATAGAATTTTATAAAGTATTTATTAATAAATGTTATTTTAACACATTCCATTTGAACAGTATTCTTGTACAGAATCTGTTGGATTTTTTTTTTAAGTTACAATATTAGTTTTGCAATAAACTACTCTACATGTGTGTGCATCTTAATCTTTCAGGGTCTCAAGCAGAAGTCATCCATCTAAGATGGAAAAGTTTGCTGAGGTCAGTTGTACAGAAATTCCTAGAATTAAATGTTTTCCTTAAAGCAGCATCTGCTTTTTTTCCTTTTGTTTTTTTTTTTTGTAACAATGAAACAAATTATAAACCTTCAGTTTTTTCCTTTGTATTGCAAAATGTGCTTTCTCGTTTTAGAAAGCATGAGTCAACGTATAACTGGAAAGCCTGTCTTTTTTTTGCTTTTTAAGGCTGATTTTATACATCACCATAGAAGATCTAACCCCATCCTCATTTCTTGTTGAATATCACATAGTGAGTTGCACTATACTGCCTTATCATTGCCTCTTCAGTCCTCTTACTAAGCAGTGTTCCTTAGATTTAGACCATTGAAGCTCCATTATACATCAGAGAAAATTAACGGAGGGGGAAGAAGAGAAAAAAATTGATCTGTAGACATAAAAACTAAACTGTGCCTATAAAACAAAACCAGTTACAACTAATTAGTATCTTACTTCTACATTTCAATTATTTATATTCTTTTAAAATTGCACTTTAGCTCTTGCTGTCTTTCTTGCTCTCCCTTGTTGAATCATTTATAAATACTCTTGTAAAAGTTTTGCACCAGATACATTTATATGCTTTCACTGGTGGCATATCTACAACTTGTCTCTCACACCTGCCCGAGTGGAGAAGCTGAGGCCAGCCAGTCTGCAGTGTGACTTAGACTTTACATCCTCTTCATGACAGCATATAAATGTTTTATTATGCAATGTGTGTGATGTGAGGCGGCATCGAAGCTACATTTATAATCTCTCATCCCAAGAACCAAAGTGTCCTGTATATCGTAAGGTCAGGAGACTGGCTCTGTTGTGCATTGTGATGCACTTTGACTGTTGTCCAACTCACAGTAGCTGAAAAGCTGCAGTGGTAACAGTGGCCATACTATATATTAGAGTTCTGAATCAATAAAATATGTTGCCTTATAACTTGACTAGGGACAGCACCTTTAAAAA